CTTGAGATTGGTTCTTGAAGGACTCTTGATGTTACTAAAACCTCAATGATTAGATGTTTTATTACCTTTAAGAACTAGTGGGTGAAAACTAAAGGTAGAGCCTGGTTGTTTGAAAAGGAAGGATGGGGTTTGTATTTACCTCTCTTTCCTTTCATTTGCCTTGCTTTTCAGAGGCTAAAAGCAATGGGTTTTATCTCTCTTGTGCCCTTGAGACTCCCACTAGAGAGAGAAAACCAGATAGGCAGGAAGGCAGAAGTGCGCCCGGAGCGTCCCCTCAGGAAGTGATCTCTGGGGAGCCCAAGTTCTCTTTTTGTTGACAATGCCAAGCTTAAAGAATAAAGCTAGAGGGGTTTCTGCTCCTCCTCTGTCTTTTTTGGGCTCTGACTCAACACGCCCCTGCCCTTCTTATCGGACTCCATTGTGATTTTTTTCAGACCTTTGCTCTCTTTTGAGCTGATAGGTTCAGCCAAGAAAAAGTGAAGCTTGATGACGATTTCCTCCTGGCCAAAGAAAGAAATCACTTGATCTCTAATCCACAAACACTGGAAAATCCAGTATTTCAAGAGCAATGCAGTTGTTCAGATTCCAGAGAAGGGTTAAATTTATAAAGAGCCCCAATGCATGAAAATAATTTTCATTTGATTAATTGCTCCACAAGGAATCTTAAAAGACATTGAAAAATGTTCAGTAAGCTGTTAGTAGCAAACAGCTGTCTTAAGACCATCCTTGCAATAACAGTGTAGGTGGCTCAGAAGTATATACATGAATCAGTACACACGTATGTGTGTATTTAAGATTTGGTATCTGTGGAGATGAGACAGGGAAGGGGAGGGATACACAGGATACTCCATAACCAAGTAAATGACATTAGTCTCAAATTCCAGTCAAAACATTTGTCATATTTTGGTTCTGTTGATTTGTTTGAAAAAGTGGATTTTGCCTGTGGCTTTGCCCCATGTGTGTAGGTGCCCGCAGATTCAAACGTGGTCACGTGGCCGAGGATAAACACATTCCACGGCTCTACCCACAAGAACTCGGCCCCTCTGAAAGGTGCACCTTTCACTCCTGGAGGGAGGGTCTTGATGAGGATCCCCGAGTGTGCTGGCGTTGTCTGCTGCTCTGTCCCTTTTATTAACATTTTCTGTTTATAAGCCACGGGGCACAACCCTGCTGTCCTTCCTCATGGACCCAGAGCCAAACCACGTCCCTTGGCGAAGTAGGAAAAATGCTCGAATCCTTGGCTCCAAGCAGCAGTTCTGTTTCTGTAGACTGAGCCTTTGACAGCACAGCCAGGGCTCCGGGCTCTGCAAAGTCCTTCATGAAAACATGCCTTTTGCCTTCTGACTGAAGTTCTTCTTTCTATAGAGAATCAGACATAGTAAATACTAGAGCAGCGGTTCTCAGCCTGTTGGTCACGACCCTTTTGAGCAACAGAGCTTCATATTACCAAGACTTTAATTCACATAAGATACGTGAAGTCTAGCTCATGGCGGCATTAGGAAGGTTGAGAACCCCTGTACTAGAGGCTGAGCTAGGGAGCCTGGCACTATAGATCCTCTTCTCTCCCAGCCCCCCTGTATGTTCCTCAGACATGTCAGGCCGTCCAGACGGATCTCTAGGTAGGTCCACACAGAGAACTTTCTGCTGTGAGGGGAAAGTTTTGTGTCTGCACTGTCCAACATGGCAGCCACCTCTGCCTTTGGAGGACTTGAAAAGTGGCCAATGGGGCTGAAGAGCTGAATCTAAACATTTATTTGATGTAAACTAACTTAACATGGCCACATGTGACTAGTGTTTGCCGCTCTAGGGATTTTATTTTTGTAGTGCTTTTTACATTTTCACTTTCTGAACTACCAGTCATGACATAGTATGTCAACAAAGATCTTTCTCTTCTTTTTCTTCTTCTTTTCTTTTGGAGAACTAGCCTGGATTCGGTTCCCTGCCATCAAGTTTCAGAGCTGGTGTCTCAGTGAGTCTTAAGCCAAGTTGACCACCTCCATTTTTCTTTTCCAGAAACCTAATGGCCGCCCTACATTTGCTGAGCTGCTGAAGACTCTCACAGAGATTGCAGAAACCTGGTGACCTGAAACGGAACATCAACCCAGAGGGTCGTCTTGCAAAATTGTCACAAAAGGAAATCCTGTGTGGGGTCACGGATGGTGAACATCTTTCTTCAGAGTTGCTGACTCTTGAAAACAGTGCAAAGATCATGGGCCTTTAAAACTTTTTATAAGACTATTCTAGCATGTAAGAGGGACTTCCACACTCTTATTTTTCTGTAGTATATTTCACATCCCATATGTGAAGATGGGAAAAGCCTCCACGGCAGCTTTCAGAGAGGCGGCTGTTCATGACAATGGCTCCAAGACCCTCGAGGGGATGTGAAGAGCTGATCCTCCACGAGGCTGAGGAAACTTCTCTCTTGAAAGGGAGTGACAGTCATCATTTCAGTGGTGCATTGAAGAGGAAAATAAATTCTGTCACCTCATGGGACAAAGAAGCCTCCCCTCAAGACTTTCAAGCTTTTGAGCTGTATAGATCTTTATAGAAAATGACTGTTGTAAATGACGTGAATGTGAGCATTTTGGAAATGTCTTTTATAATATTCTGTGTTATTTAATAAATTGTTTTTGCACATATTTGATTATTTTGGAAACAATGTCTTGCATTCCAGTTTTAAGCACTTACAGGGGAGAACCAAAATTCCTCTTTGAACAGATCTCGGTGACCCTTCTATTTCCAGTTATATCCACTATCAGGAAAATTCAGAATCTGATTTCAGTTCTGAGATTTGATACTTCGTACACGTGGGACTGGACATTTACCAGTCCTTATTTTGTCACAGTGTTTCCTCCCCTTGTCAGGAGGACTTGTTCTTTCTAAAAGAAGAGACAAAACCAAGATAGCCAAGTGTAACATCCAGATCCCTTATTTCTGAAGTCCAAGACTTTGAATTCAAGATGAAACAAGCAGCAGTCACAGGTAAAACTTAATTTTGCATGCTTGGAAACTGATTTCTATCACTCTGAGTGCTTCAGAAATACCATAGGAAGAAAGGTATTGCAGAAAGCACCAGTGTAATTTCCAGCGGTTTAACGTCATTTGCGTGTCGTCCCTCCCTGCATCATGGCTTTGGGGGAACATGCGTTAGGATCCTCATTAGAGTCTGAGTCAGTCATTGTGACTTTCAAATCATAGTTTCCCTGCTCTGGGAATGGAATTTTTTACTATCAATAACACTCAATAAATGTTCATTATTTCTTTTTTTTTTAAATAAGTCATTTGTACATAGATCATAAATACATTTATGCCATTATGGGATTCAATGTGTTGATTATTTGTACAAATTGGAGTGCTTACATCCTACTAATCAACATAGCCTTCACCTCATTTACCCAATTACAGGATTAAGACCTTTGTGTCCTACACCTGATAGATCCAACTTGTACCTGCAATATGCTCCATAGTTGTGGTTCCTCTACACCAACCCTCCCTCTGTCAACCCACCCCCTCCCTTTCTCTCTCCCTCCCCTTCTCTCCTTCATCCTAGGCTATAGTTGTGTTTCATTTATCATATGCTTGTGTGAGTGATTGTAAATTGGTTTCACAGTAGTACTGAGTACATTGGATATTTTTGAGTATGGTGTCCAAGAAAAGACTTGGTAATGGAAGTGGGGGGCTTGGAAGCATTTTCATGAGATGCTGTGCTATTTCCAAGACTATCACACTCCTTCTCTTGTGACTGATGCTATGGTGAGGAGCAACAGAGCCTCATATTACTGAGACTTTAATTCCCATACGGTATGTGAAGTCTAAATCAAGAGGGCATGAGACTATTAAACAACAAAAGCTGAGGGAGGGAGGCTATGTTATGACATAGGAGTACCAGTATGGGTAGTCAGATGACTTTCTGCTGTCGCTAAGCTTAGAAGTCCCCACTCCCTCCAAAAAGGAAAAAAAAAAGAGAGAGAAATTAAACACTGGAAAGCCAGGACTGATTGCAGAGCACTTGGGATCCTATGTCTATGTACGTACAGAGCACTTGGGATCCTATGTCTATGTATGTACAGAGCACAGAGCAGACAGTGACCCCAGAGGTCCATCATCCTAGGGGTCAGCACCACCTGTGTCGTCTGGCGCTTCTCATGCCATGATGTGGTAGGCAAGCTCTACTCCTTTTAATACTTCAGGAAAGTTTGAGATACCAAATTAGGAGCAAAAATAACTGGAACCGTGTTCTAGGTAACTAAGATGTCAAATATTGTGTGAATTTTGAAAGTCTATGGAAAGAGATTTACCATTCTCTATCTAGGTAAGGGAAAAAAA